TGAATGATATTGATGGTGAAATAAACAGTGTTGGGGGTCGGGGAATTGAAGGAAATATTTTAACCGTACCTGTTGAAACACCAGTCCCTGTACGATCATTGAAATTAAGCAACGTCGACCCTGGTCAGCACCTAGATGGGTGACTGCTTGATAATACCAGGTGCTGTAAACTTGAATGTACTGGTAGTGTAAGGGGTAGTAAATCGGAATTGTTAACCGAAGACCCGAGTTCCAATCTCAGTTGGGTTAGTTATATTATCTTACGCGAATTTACCTCTTCCCCCAGCTATGGGTTAATTAGTAAGGCTTCTATCGCTAAACCATTTTCTGCAAATATAAAATAAAATTACGTACAAAATATTTAGACTTCGACATAAATGACGCTAAATAAAACCTACCAACAGCTGTATTTATAAATAGTTTATCAAATTTGGCTATTGATGTAAAAGGGTTCTTTTTTGTTTCTTTTTTTTAATATGGAAGGCTAATAAAGTTAAGTGAGAAATGCTGGTTACAACAACAGTAGTAGTACTAGTAATAATAACTAGAAAAGCCAGTGAACATTTTACGGTTTTTCTATTTAACTTCTCGGATGAATCTTAATTCTTAACTCTCAAGTCAATGATTGAATAAGCTTATGGCAAGTTCTGCGACCATAAAATATCCGTAGAAATTCCTCTATCGTGTCGTTAAATATTTGAGCTTAACAACTTTAACAAAATATTGCAATGACAATCATAAATATGAATGATGGTCGTTTATTTTAAGAAGCGGATAGAAATGAAAAAATTTAAAATTGTCAACTTTTTCATTTCACCGAAACAGCTGTTAAAATCTATCTTCACATTTTCTTTTCCATTTTCTTACTGAAACCAAGTAGCGTCTTTTCTCCTCCTTCCACGTGATCAAAATGGAATAGTCCATTATTTATAAAGTATAGGCTGAAAACGTTAAACACTTTTATATTCTGTTATTTCCTTTCTTTCTTGCCAAATCCCTGTCTTTCGATAATTTCTCTTAATAATATGCTCACTGGATATTTTGGCGATTACCTTACTTAGTTTATTTCGTTGGGTATGGTGTATAAATGAAAAAAAAAAAAATCACTTTTATCGCGGTCGCTTCGCTTCTCGGGCTTTCGGTTGAGATCAAAGTGTAGTATCTGTTCTTATCAGCTTAATCTGATCCTCTCCATCTTTCCTTCTTTCGTTCATTTTCTCAGTGAAACCACTTTTCCCTTCTTTGCACGCGATCAAAACGCGGAATAGTCCATTATTTATGAGGTCGTGCTAACTAACGAAGGAAAGGACACGCACAATTATAATAGGATAAATTTTTTTTCTTCTTCAAAGAACCGAAGCGGAATATTTTATTGATCAGATGTCATAAAATGGGACAGGTATGTCTATTATAGGAAGATCGGATTTTCCTTTTAGTGCCGAATCAATCAAAACACAATGAACCAAAAGAGACATAAATAACAAAACCCTGAATCTATAACAACAAAGTCAGCAATAAATATGCAAGTCATAACAAAAATATTGGCCACTCATCTGACGCCTGAGAACGGCAAATCCATAAGGTTTGGAACTTTGCCTCATAGCTGAATTTTCATAGAAAACAATTTTTGAAGTCGTAGCAGAACTTGTTTATCATATCTTTACTACTTTTAGTGGTATTTCTTGATAGGCAAATTTTTACTCGGTTTAACTTCGTCTGGCACAAGGCTAATGGTAAAATTAATAGAAGACTATATTGCATAAACGTCCTAAGTATGGTGTGAATCAGCATTTTAAATAATTGCTTTTCTATGACCGCTTCGACAAGTGCTACTAATAAGACTTTTACCTCGGTCACGAGGATTGTCGATCTCGGTGGCTAAATACTGGCAGAGATACTTTTTCCAGTTTACTAGAATATTTTTTTGTTAAGCTTCACGTCATGATCTTTTTTGTTTTCTTTAAATTTGACTGAATTTCTTGGACTGGTTATTATATGCAGTTGGCTTAATATCCTCATTTGTTATCACGGCGTTTCGGCTATTGTGTTCTTTGGCCTTCTTCAGGAGTATTTCGATCCGGGTTAGCTTCTGGTAAAATTAAATTGGAACCTTTGTTCAATCTACAGGTTGATTATTCTCCAGTGAAAACAGGGCCACCAATAACCGAGCAGTGTTAAAAGACCGAATGTGCGTGTGGATTGTGGCTTGGAATGAGAAATCGGAGAGCATAGTTCGAATTCACTTTCCTTTACATTCACTTAGCCGCAAATACACTTGGGAAAGGTATGAACCCATCTCTTTTTCCCTAGCTATAGCTTAAATTGCAGGTCTGACTAGGTTCTATAGCCTTGGATGGCAGCCATTCTAGAGATGTTGACTCGTTAAATTCGCCCATCTCTCAGCAAGTCTGGGCCCCTCATCGAGGATCCAACAAAAATTCTACAATTGCGTGAGTTCTGCATTACGTTCGTATATATCCTGGTATTCCCGAGTGGTTACCCATCTAGTTATTGACGAAGCTTGACATTGCTTAACTTCGGTGATGTGACAAGAATCTCTCTCATTGTGGTATGGCCTCGTTATATTGACTTCTGCGCAAATACTTTTGGGCGTATTATGAATCGAAAAGGGACATGATCGCCCAAGCGTGTCATATCCGCTCTTCCCAACACGCACTGGGCTAGCGCGGTAGGGTAATAGTCCATATAAGTATGGTGGGAGTCCTAAGTCCAACAAAAGGACAATCACAGGCTGGGAAGACCTTTAGGAAAAGATATGTATCCAATTCTCCCTCCAGGCTCTGGCTAAATGTTATGACTGTTGGAGACCTTTTTAGGCGTGTAAAGTCAATCAATCTTTGGTGCTTGATAATAGGTCATATTAGGAGAAATTCCATGGTGTTTGTACCCTGTAACCCAGTACGCTTTGTCACTTATTACTTGGAGATGAGGTCGACAATACTAAGGAACTTTTAATATTCTAATGTAATGATTCTCAACAACCGTGTCGTAGCATACTAGTGTGTTGGCGATTCTCTTAAGTGTTCCGTGAAATATTGTCTCATATATATATATATATATATATAAATATGTGTGTGTGCGCGAGCGCGTTGTTAAATATAACAGACAACGAATGTCTTATGTTTGATCATGAGCCGTTCTTAGCTTCGTATAGTGGCTTTAGTTTCGGGAGAAAAGAAAGACAAAAACTGTTCAACGTTTGGATATTTTTATTATGCATAAGCCATCATCAGAGTATTTATATGGACATTACAACAGTTGTTCACCACCAAACTTCTATACAAACAACACGACGTCATCTATAATGGTGAACATCTCTGTTGTAATGTCCATATAACCACTCTGATGATGGCTCATGTGCGCTGAAAGCTTAGATCGTTTGAGAATACCAGGTGCTTACAGCATTTAAGTACTGATCACACTAGATGTTGGTAATTGTACGAGATATAACTGTATACCTTGAATCACTGGAGCCTACCCAGTTAACAAAATAACGTTGCAAAACGTTTCAGAGAAGTTACATTTATTTTGGAAACTCCCCATAACATACCCGCAATATTGCCTTGTAATGTTTTAAATGCGTTGCCTTATAAAGTTATTTTGAGAGATTTTAAAAGTTCTGGTAGAGGTACGGTGGAATAGTGGATAGCAGCTCGGATTGAGGAGAGCAGAGTTCGAATTTCAGTCGAATCCATTACATTCACTTATGTGCTAATAATATGGTAAAGATAAGAATCCTCGTCTTTTCCCCCAGCTATGGGTAAATAACAGGACAGACCGGGTTCTATAGTCTTGGATGGCAACTGGTCTACTGCAGAAAGAAATGGCAACCTACTGCGGGAAAAAATCTGCCTCGTCAGTCATGTATCGAAAGATACAGATCTAAGTGTGTATCACGCATGGCGCATAACTGACTGACGCATGGCGCATAACTGACTGACGCATATTAAGTATAGAAAAGTTATTCGGGTGTTATTGGCCAGTACTAAATTACAGAACTACGGCTTACGGCCATGTCCCGTTAAAAAAAAAAGGGGGTTCTCGCACGATCACCTAAGTTAAGCAACATCGAGCCTGGTCAATACCTAGATGGTTGATGCTTGGGAATAGAATGTGCTGTAAGTTTGTATGTGAAGTTAGTTTAATGGTTAATGTCTCGGAATAGGAAATAAGAGAGCCGATTTCCATTTACAGTTGGGTACGTTATATTAATTGCGCGCAAATACCTTTGGGGAAAGGTATGAATCCATCTCTTCTCCCCGTTAGCTATGGGTTAGTTAGTTGGTTTTGTATCCGTAAATCGTTCTTACAATCTAAAAATATTTTCTGACTTTAAATAACCCGCAAAAGGTTGATAAGCCGTATAAAAACAAACAAATCAATCGAGCACGCTACAGAATGATGCAACGTTATCACGTGACGAGCGGTCGGTTTAGCGCCAGGAAAATAGTTGATTTCAGCGTTACAGTAACGTTGTCACAACGTCACATAGAACTCCAACCAAGATACAATGTGTCTGCCACATTGGGAGAACGTTCCTGTTAGCTGGGTTTTCTACACAAAATTTATTTTTGTCGTTACGTGACGCCGAGAGAAAAATAAAGTATTCGTATAATCATTCCTTCAGTTCGTCTTCAATTTATAATTTATCTAAATTCGGTTTTAATTATTTTTTCATGTTTTCAACCGGTCTATTACAGGTAGGGGTCCCAATTCCTCGTCTTGGAATGTTTACTCGGGTATGTCTATTCCTTCATATGGATGTCTTGCATAGCGCCCAATCTGTGCAGAAATATTCAAACTGTGTGCAGTCATTTCTTCAATGAAGGCGATAAAGCCACGAAGACGCAAATGGTGACGGAGTGAAAGAATCTGAGAAAAATAATTAAGGAGAGGACAATAAAAGAATGGGATAAAGGAAACAAGATTACAATTCACATTGAATCTAAATTTTTGAAGGTCAAAGTTGACTGGAGGCTCTGCGACCACATCAAGTTAAAACACTGATTCCCGTACGATCACCAAAGTTAAGCGACATCAAGCCTGGTCAGTACCTAGATGGGTGACCGCTTGGGAATACCAAATGCTCTAAGCTTGGATGTGCGGGTGGTGTAATGGATAATGCCTTGGAATTGTTAATCGGAGAGACACGTTCCAATTACGGTCGGGTTCGTTACTTACGGGCAAATATGCTTGAGAAATGTATGAATCCATCTCTTCTCCCCCAGATATGTGTTAATTAGTAAGACTTGTATCGATAAACCATTATTATCTCAAAAAATACTTTTACAATCTAAAAATATTTTCTGTCTTTAGATAACCTGTAAGGATTGATAAGCTGTAAAAAATGAACCAATCAATAAAACAAAGTTGGCTGGGAAGCAAGAAGCCAGAAGAGAGTTCTACAAGATTTTCTCAGTTCAATGATTAAAAGAAAATATTTTAATGAATGAACCTTGTACATTTTAAATACCTTCTTTCTTTTTTTTTTTGTTTTTGAACTACGTGAACTGGCACTACAGAATAAAAATAGGTTATGAAATAATAGAAACCACATAACTTGAGGATTTTCAACAACTAAAAAGAATAGCAAATGCAATTTTACGAAAATAGTGGCATAAAGAAGGTGTTGATTTTCCACACTACTTCAAACAAAGTGTTAGGTTAGGAAGCCTCCAACAATACTGGAAAGAGTGATAACAGAAGCGAAAATCCTGTTTTCATGAGAAAAAAACTGTTTTAAGAGAAGAATTTTATAAGTTTAAACCGAAATTAACGCCAACTCTTCAATGAATGCTAAATATTTTCGTACAAATAAACGGCTAATATTACCACTCAAAATCGAATTGTTACGTTCATTTATTATAGGACTTGTCGTTTCATCATTATTATTGCATAGGTGACCTTATTATGCTCTGTCAATGTTTGACTTGGTTTCTGGAGTTTTAATATTCTTGTTGGATGAAAAATAATCAAAGGAAATATAAACCACGAACATTGATAAAAGACTACCGATAAAAAAAAAGAAATCATTAAAAAAAATGGGAGAGCTAACAAATAATCGAACAATCTTCTTAGTTTAGTCTGATCATATCGAATCGTGAATTTCGTTTTCCGACGCTCGAATTGAATGTTCACGATGTGATCCGATCAGTTTCGCTCACAAGTCTCTTTTCTCATCGTCTCCTGTTCTTCCCCACTCTCAAACTCCTGCATCATTCATCTCTCCACTCTCGCAATTCAAGCTAGAGAAATACACCATCAATGTGACTAATGTCGATAGCTCGTTAAAAAAAATGTCTGCGCATGTGTAGACGCATGCGCATAATTTTCTGTTTTCTTTTCTTTTTTCTTTTGTTTTTTTTTTTTTTTTTTTTTTTTTTTTTAAATCCTTTGTCAAACATTTTATATCCTGTTGTTTTTATGACTTTATAGAATAAAGCAGTTTGAAAATAAAACAATTATTCCTGTTGTATTCCCGCCAGACTTTCTCACTGAGGTCGAGTGACTTAGTGTCTTCAAATAATTTTTAATACTATTTTTGCTCGAGCAGATTTAGAATATTTGTATCTTTTCCACCTTTCAAATCCTGAATTGTACTTGTGAAAACTCTTCAGGTCGTGGCTAATTTGAAAAATATTGATATTCTGAGTGTGTGTAACTAGAGTATGTTACAGAAGTTTTAGATCATTCGTTCACTTAGTGTATTGGCATGTTCATTCTCTGTGTCTGGTGATTGCTGCAGGAAATCGACTCACAGCATATCCGAAGCTTCCTAAGAACCTTTTTCTGCATAGTTTTCAAAATTTATTTTTAGCGTTACACGGATTACGGGTAACGTATAAAACAAAAATATAATTATCAGAAATAACAGTGACTATGATCAAGCACAGTCTGGGACAGTGTTGTACCATTTATTCTTAGACTGCTTCTGCACAAGATAGATATGTCTTCTATAGGTGCTATCTAATAACTAAGGATCATTGATTTGTGGTTGGTGTGTGATGTTACCTTACGTTGTTTCTCACCATTTATCTATAATGGAGTCTCTCTGAGCCTTGGTTGGCAATCCATTTAGTGATGGTGTCACGATAAAAACACCCTTGATAGCCCTAGCGAAGCATCAAGAATTCAGCTATTTGACAAGATTATAAACTACACCAATCAAAGTATTGAAGATAAGGAATACTGGAAAGGTGTAGTGAGTTCAATCTCGGCTGAGGCCGCATGATGATGATGATCTATATGGGCTTATGTAAGAGTTGATAGAAATCAATTATAATAAATATGTATGTCAGTGTGTCACACTTTTTCAACTTTACTCCTGGAGGCCGTAGACTAAAATATCATAACATTTTGGAATCAGGCCGACCCCGTGAGCAAATTAAAAACATTCCAGGCTGGATCCGGGCCCGCAATCCTGAAATTTTGGATTCTCAAGTTTTCACTATTTTTTTTTTTTTTTTTTTTTTTTTGCGACGAATTTTTGTACGATAACAATTTTTATAACTTGGAAATAAATTTGGGAATAATCAAAATTAATTGCGAAATTTAGCGAAAGTCACTGATGAAAGTCACTGTACAGAAAGTAAGGACCTATGCACATCAAATTGTCATTAAATTAAGTGGCGGCAGAAGAATTATCGTTGAACTTATAAAAGGTAAGCTTAAATATTGATGCAATACTTAAATATCGAATCTACTCCTCCCTACCTATTGTGAGGAAAGCCCAATCAAGAACCCTCCGCAAGAGCTAACTTAAATGACGCCAGATAGGGCAGCTTTTAAGCTAGTACACACACACACACACACACACACACACACACATATATGGGACAAGAGGAAAAATATTCTCAGCCGACGCGTTTTTGCCTCTGGGGGACTTTATCAAGCCAATGTAGGATTTATTTTGCTATACGTGTTTATATACAAAAATACGTAGATGTCTTTGGTTTATCAAGTTTTTTTGCTTTTTTTAAATTTTAGAACCTTCATGAATATTCATCGAGTAGTTGAACGGTCAGTCAAAACATGTGGCCACAAAGTGGCATGATTCAAAGTCTGGTAAAAAGTCACTTGAGCGAGTTCAAGAGATTTTTTAACAATATTGCTTAGATTGTTATGGTTTGAGATGTACTGTACATCTTCAAAAGCATGAGGTGATGGATTTAGATGTTTTCGTTTTATTTTCAACATATTTGTGGTTGTGTATGTTGGCTTTGGAAAGTAGTAATTCTTTCAGGAAAAGTGAAATTAAGAAGAAAAAAAAACTGGGCCTAGATTCATATTTTGGTAAGATTCGATGACGGCACTCTCGAGAATTTTTCTTCGGAATAAATTGCTTTCTTTTTGATGAGTGGCATTTTTTATTCATTTTAGATTAAATTGTGTTCAATTTATTTCTGTATATTACCAATGTATTTGTTATACGGACTACTAAAAACGCACAAACAGGACACACCAATGAAACCTATCATATCAGGGATAGGCAGCGCCCCACACACTAAGTAAAATCCTAACCCCACTCCTCGGCACATTTAGTCCCTCACACATAAATAATTCAGGTGACCTTCTCAACAAATTAAAAAAACAGACATCATAAACAAATATATGGCCAGTTTAGACATAAAATCCTTATACACAAACGACCCTATATAGAAATGCCTAGTTCTAATAAAATCACATTAAATATAAATGAAATTACGTATCCCTATATATAAAATCATCTAATCAACAATGATTTTCATTTTTGGTAACCCCTTTTATGGACAAAGATTTGGCTTACCAATGAGATCTCCTTTCAATGGCCCTTTCAAAAACATTCTACCACAAAACTCTTCTTATTTTAGATACATAGAAAACGTCCTACTAATATATATTCACAAAACACCATTTTAACAGATCTTGTCAACAAAATAAATAGCGTTTTGAACCTCAAGCTAACAACACCATCCCCTTCCTAGATATCATGTTACGCAGAAACAATAATGAACTCAAATTTGATGTTTACAGAAAAGCTACCAACAAAGATGAACTGGTCAATTTTTACTCCAACCACTCCGATAAAATTTAATCTGGTATATGTTTCTACTTAAGAGCATTTAAGAATTTGTTGTCCCCGATATCTACCCAAAGAAATACACAGAGAAAACACATTCAAAAACCTCCAATATCCTAATCGTTTCATCCACAATGCAAAGAGAAAGGCACATAAAATACATGATCGCATCAAAAGTAACATTATCTATATCTATAAAACAGATATGTGCGTGCGTGTTATTTATGCACGTCCACATTTCTCAACCGATTTCGATGAAATTGTATAGACATACTGCAAATCTGCCAACTACGTCAAGATCAACTTTTCAATCTTCAGGCACCCCCCTCCACGTGTGTGGCAGGAAAATCGATAAAAATGAAGGTGGGTACGACTTTTTGCAAAAAAACAAGGCAAAGTTACACGCGAACAAAATTTTTACTGGACGATGCACAATGCAAAACATAGCTCATGTTACGAGGTTTATGTAGAGTGCTTGATAACTTTCCTGTGACAATGGCTTCACCCCCAAAAATGATAAAAACTGAAAAAATCGAGTTTTTCGTACTACTTAAAATAAAAACTTAAATATCTTTCTCATTTCTTATCCGACTTTCTTCAAACATAACGCAAAAAGTTTGACATCATGCACGAAATAAAATAGTGTGGTTTTAGTCCTGAACTCTTCCCCGCGTATAACGAAAAAATACGAAAAACTGTTCAAAAAGTCCGTTTTTCGGCTATAACTCCCTGGTTTTTTCATCTGATGCATTCCAAATTTGCCATGTAAGTTACATATGGCACACAAATTATATTGCTTGAATGTTTGTTTTAGATTATTTCAGTTAAGTGGACGAAATCTGCGACAAACAAGGTACAAAATCAGCTTTTGCCATTTTAGCCAGTAGTTTCTTCATGATTCCATCCTAAATTCGCATTCGAACAACCTTTTGATGCAAAGATTGTTCGAGAAGGATTATTGAAGCTTTAAAAGGGGAAAATTCCCGAAGAACCGTGTGAAGGAGGGGGTGTTCATGCGTTTACACTTGCT